TTATTTCATTACAAAATTATAATAGTTGTCACAATATTTTTAAATATTATGTTTAAGTACTTTAAACTAATCAAATGTTCATAATACAATTAACGTTTCAATCTAGATGTATTTTATAAATGTAATATTGTTGTAGTATAGTATAATATATACTCATTCCCAAACACTAAACAAATATTATATTTTTGATATTTCCATTAAAACTTCACCAAATTGTGTGAAAAATTTGCTTTGCGAGTTTAATCTTTAACTAAAAATGATTTTTTTAAAACTTAAAAACTTTTTTGACAACTTGACAACTGAGCACTGTTTAGTTCAATTTCCCTTTTTTTTTTGGTATAGTTAACCCAATAATACTGTATTATAACATGCTGCCGGAATCAAACATTGTAGCATTAACATTGTAGTGGCCCATGAAAATTTCACAGTTTTCTATGCACAAAAAATGCTATTCAATCTGCCAACACCAGCCACATAACGGTCACTGAATGTGTGTACATAAAAAATTCGTGTTTTATTTATTGTACAATTTTTAATTGCGTTATTAACGACAATTTGTATAAATAATCATAAAAAATCAATGAAACTAACGCACCATGGCTGATGTGTTTATGTTAATTTATGGTGTCGTACGCATATTCGTCCGTCTCAGAGTAGGTATGTACGTTATTTTTAATCAACTTGACGTTTACACCGTGTTTCGGATACTTATTTTTGTTGTTAGGAACAACCCTATTGAAATCCGAAAAAGCAGGGTTTAGAAAACTCTCTTTGCACCCCCTACGTCGTTGACAATGTAAATTATTACATGTACACGTACATAAGTGCACACGCCGCGTGAGTAGGCGATAAATAAGCCGGTGCACGCTATCCGTCGTCGATCGGTGATCTAATTCAACCCTTTTTACGGTAACACTTGATTTGCATGTTTCGACTTAAGGGCGCGACAATATTTTATGCGGCAATAAACATTACAGCCTTTTAAGTTTATCTGTCTGGTGACAATAAAAACCGACGCTTAGACCACCGCCAAAGGTAAAGCATAAAAAAACCGACCTCATAAAACGAGGTACTACTATTTTTTTTCCTCTCCTAAAATATTATTAGTAACCCTTTCTGTGGCCGTTGCCACGGATTCTTCTGGATTATAAACCGTTTGTTGCTGTAATAATTAACAAAACGTACATCACTGGGTTTTTACAACGAATCGGACTAGGTTCACGCGATAAGTGCTAGAAATGCAACAGATTGCAGCAACAAATGTATGCGGTTTTTAGCTCTCTATTGACCGAGTAATATATGATATAGTACCGGTGTTTGTACAGTCCCATTTAGCTTGCGGACTTAAAGTAGGAAGATGTAATACAAATATGTATGTATATTGTTTCAATAAATCTTACTACAGCTTCGAATACAAACGCACTATAATATTATGGCGAAACTCATAGTGTAATATTATTATACACTGAACACATTGGCAAACTTGGGGCATGTCTACTATATACCGGTAATGATTTCAAATTGGACGAAACCGCCGTAAATATAATTCAGGGTATTATCGCTGAACCGTTTTTCGCGCGGTGATCCTCGACATCATTATGCGTTTATATGGGTGGCTTTATTTTTTTATTTATTTCATAGACATTACGGTGAAATCCGCGAGGGACCTAAACGAGCCGTACACTGGCAATACTTATACTTGCGGTGCGTTCAAAGTTTATCAAAGCAAATTTAAGTTTATACACACAAATATCGGGCGGCCGTCAATCACATAGGTATTTTTTTATTAAATTTTATTTTTTTTTTTTAATGTGCTCGGCTGCCGCTGTTCATTTTCGGATAATAAAAGACGGCGGCGGCGATGAAAATTTCCATTATATGCTAAACCGCGCAACGGGGAAAAACAAATCAGCGTTTTACGACCGAATCCGCTAGCGCCTCGGCGGGGTTAAAAAATATATAATATAATATAATATTAGACGGTGGCATTTTTATTGTATACATATAATATGATGATAGGGAAAGTGTAGTAATAATACGGTGAACGCGCGCGCTCACGGGGATGAAGACGTTCCGGCTTGTGTCCAAAAAAAAAGAGACTTTTGACTATTAGCTCGTAAAATCTGCTAGTTTTATGTGGTTTTTCGTCGTAAAAATCCGCAAAACACTCACCGCCTATGTTATATTATACATGTACAGATGCACCCTGTAAACACAATCGAAAAGCGTCGACGGGTGCCGGATTAATCCAATGGCCGAAATAGCGCCGTCAGCTGCTCTACACCGCTGTTGTCTATACAATATAACGTAATGTAATATATACCAGAGTACCTGGCAGAGTAGTTAAAAAACGGTGCGCGTTTGTCGCGCTTGTCAAACGCACAACCGTTGCAAAAAACCAACAAAAAAAAAAAATTGTTTTTTTGGTTTTTTTTAACCCCTCTGTTGTCTTTTCGTCCGCGGATCGCGTGTGGTCGTTTTACACTTCTTTCACTTTCATTCCATACTATACATTGTACAATAACGTATAAACATGCACGTCACTTTTCAGTTAGTTTTATGTTTTATGAACATTAGCATATTGTTTGGCAAGTGATCGGCAGAGGTGGCGTTTACGACTTCCAGCCCATTGACTACTCGATTAACCCTCGATCAACAGACGCCGCATTGTCTTTTTATCGAGAAGCTGCTATATTAGTCATTACACAAGGCACTGTCACGGGTGGTATCGAAAGAGTGTATTTAAAATACTAATTACTATTATAGGTCTATTGTTCGTTTTTGCAATACACAATTCTAACGGATCTTCTTGTCATCCCAGGCCAAGTCCCGACTCTTGGATGATTCACAGCAAACGGTTAATCAAGTACCAGTATAATAATAATATTATCATCCGTCTTGTAACGGTGCTAAAGTTTTTAGTGTAGGTATAGGTATTCAAGCGAAAAAATAATCATATAAACAATATTACAGGTATATAGCGTGACAATGCATCCCGCTTGTTGTTTCTATATCTGTGTATGTGTGTGTGTACAATATGTACAGTGTAGTATTAAACGAGTTGTTCTTTTGGGGAAAAAAATGCATAATACAAGCGCCACTCTCGTTTGTACTAGCTTTATTGGCTGAACATAACGACGGTATAATGATGATGATGGGTCGTGCGAATTTTCACCAAACACACAATATTGAATAGAAAGCGGCTTCGAAGGGGGAGGGGGGGCGCTATTACAGACAGTCGGCCAAAAAAAAAAAGGGAAGTTTTCGGTTTTCACACGCGGCAAAGCGACACTTTTCTTTGGCAGCGTTTGCCGCCGACAAAAGGCTTGTTACGCGGATCCTTTTGTGCGAAAACAAACCGTTTCCGAACCAACGGTAATCGCGGCCCTTATACACGCCGGCAAAAAGGGTTAGGCGCCCGTGACTTAAGGGAGTATGTATAAAGAAACACACACACACACACACATACATAATATGCACATACGGCGACGATGTCGGTCGACACGATACTGATTTAGGGTTATATGTTGCCATTTGCACGGCTCGACGATCCCGTTAACGATATACGTACACCGAGACATAACAATAAAATATATATTATATGCAAATCTTCAATGGTAAAGAGCGTGCCACGGTGCACAGAAAACCCAGCGTGATGCTTGCGCGTGAAACCCCCCACAAAAAAATGGGGGTAAAAAAATGCAATTTTCAAACAAACGAAAATATCGAATTAAGTGTAGAGAGACAGAGCCTTATAGATAGCTCTATTCAAAGCAGATGTCGTGCTACGGCGGCAGTCGCAGTGTATCATGCGAATACATTATGTTATTGTCAGTTTAAAACGTTCGCAATTCCATTTGTACACTTTGTAAAATCAAATAATATAATATTTTCCATTTTACAACTGAACAGTCAGAAAATAAGCGTTAAAAAAATAATAAAAAATCTCGTTTAAAAAATATTTCTATGGCAAACGCCGGTGTCAATGCAAATTTAAACGCTATTTTGTTTTCCTAACGAAGACAAACGCGTTTTGCAGCAATTCAATTCTATCGACTCCTTAAAATAACATTTTTAACTTGAACATTGTGAAATAAATTTCATAATTTTATATAAAAAAGCAGTAGGTGAAACAGTTGGTGGTGCCTATTTATAAAATATATAATACAATTTTATAGCAGTTTATAGCATAAACGGTTTTGGGCTTGGTGTTGTTCGTTTGCCAATCAACACATTCATTCGAAACTGGATACATGTATCCCAGTCATGTCAATGTTAACGAAGCTAATAACCTTTATACTTTAAAATGCACACACTTGATTAGCGGGTTGACACGCATGCTAGCGACAAAGCATTTAATTAGCCCACCCGTTTTTTTTTTGGTTTACAATTGATGATCTGTAATATTATATATAATTACGACCATATCGTAAAATATAAAATAAATAAAGGGTGTAATTTCGCAAAAAAAGAGAATGAGCTTAAAAAGTTAGTGTAATATTATACAATTCGTTTATTTCTCTAACCTAACGTACAGAAGTTAAATAATTTCGTTGTCTTAATTCCAAAGTAGGGATACTATACACATCACTAGTCCCTCCCAAATTACGCCAATTATTAACAGAGAAAAGTTATCATGCTAAGAGTCATGCGAATTTAATAGATTACAATAGTAGTATACAGTACAGAAAATATGTTTAATGTATATTAAATTAAAATTCTTAATAAATACATTTTCTTTCAGTTTTTCCAAAAATATTTTTCTCATTTTCAAACGTTTTGTTAAATAATGTGGTGATGTCGTTTTAAATACGGGGTTTTTGTTAAGTTGTTATAAAACTAAAGAAAAGCATTATGAAAAAATGAGCTGCACGCGGTTAACATATGTGTGGTCTAAACAAATACAACGAAAAATTTATTTGAATTATCTCTCCGAAAAAGAAACGTATATAGACTTAAATAAACAAAACAAAAAATCGAAATCGTAAGCTTGACAAATTTGCCAGTCTCAAAATTTCGTTGCCGCAAGAAGCAAGCTAGCTTACGCGATTTTTTTCTACCGACTTCAATCAAATATTAAACACAAAATAATATGGTGCGCCTTGACGTACTGACGAGCACGATTTTGGGGTTAATGTTGTTCGTTTGCCAACCAGCACAATCGTTGGAAACCGGATGCATGTATCCCAGTCAAGTCATTGTTGACGAAGGTATTATCCATAACGATTTAAAATGTACGTACCTATACAGCGGATTGATACACATGCTGCTGACACAGCATTTAACTTATTTTTTGTATCCATCAGTTTTAATCGGTAAAATAATTACTTACAGCCATATCGTCAAATGCCAAATATATTCGTTGTACCACTTAAAAGTAAATCGTATGGATGCCTTGTGGTTAATTCATTTGTACTTGGCTCTGGTAAACAGTTTTTACGGAGAGTCCGAAGACAAGAAAGAAGTCAGTAAGAAAATCTTGGCCACTCTCGAATATGTCATTACTCAATTGCGTATAGACTTAACGGATTGCCGTAAAGATAATACATTTAACGACGAGGAGCAGATTTTCTCAAACGGGAATCTTTCGGAAATAGATTTGGGATATTTTATGCATATGAACAAAATCAAAGCCAATGAGTTGCTTAAAAAAAACAACATATTATGTGATCAGACGTTAAATGAATATGCGGCGAAAACGTTACAAATCGGAATTCTTTTATTAAACAAAATATGTTCAAAAGATGTTTCAATGGAAGATTTAATGGGCGTATTTAACGTGCAAATAGAATGGCACAGCACTACTGAAGTATTGGCTCAATCTTGGTGTGACGCACGTAATTATTTTTGGACTGCCAACAAATTTGTAAACCTAAAATTATACTATAAACTGACCTTTGATTTTCTAAAAATTATGATGTTCCGGCTGTCGTTAAAACACCTTGCTTATTTAAAAGGCTTTATTTCTTCAATATTTTACGTGGAATATACGCAAGAATGGAATAATAAAGTCAAAGAGTTCGGTGATATGTTAATCTTGTCCGAAGATACACACGTAGAAAATTTGCTAATTCATCTCGATATGCTTGTCAAAAGAGAAGAAACAATAGACGACGTGGTTAAATATTTAAATTCAATATTGGAAAAACTCTGTGAACCTTTCGGGTGTAAAGCTACTAATAAATTCGAACTAAACGGTAATGAATTCCAGACACCTTATAAAAGTTCGATAACGTACCACGATTTAATTCTTAAAAAAAGCCCTGTGCGGATTGAGCGTTATAGTTTGGAAAATACCACAGCATTTTTGCACTATCTTAGATGGATGTTCAAATTTACCGACTTTAAACTTGTTCGGTTATTCGTGGAATATATATCAATGATGTAAATCTAATAAAATGTATTGATGGATTGGAATATAAAAATCGCATTACATTTGATATCGTTTACATATCAAATGCAAATTTTTCAATTCAAATCTAATTTGTATTAAATATATAATATACTCATTTTATTGTAATGTTCAAATACCATCGTACATTACTATTGTTCGTCATTACTACATTTTTCTATAATAAATAAACATTGTTATATGAAAACATATTTTGTTAATAATAATCAATGCGGTATATTATTTAAATATCATTGTTACTTGAAATAAATCCGAGTATTTTCATTGAATACTATCGTCAAATTTAATACTTTGAAAGCAACAAACGTTCATTGAATTAGGTAGAGAGTGTCATTTATACGAATACATTGTTATTGTCAGTTAAGCATTTTCGCAATTTCATTTGTACCCTTTGTAAAATTAAAAATAATGTTTTCCATTTAAACTGAACAGTCATATGCATTAAATAAAAGAAAAAGAAAAATCTCGTTTATAAAATTTACGCCAAACAGATGGCAATGTAAATATAATTAAGGCTATTTTATTTTCCTAACAAAGACTAACACGTTTTATACTTCAATTCTATCGACTCCTAAAAATTTTTTTTTTACCTTGAACATTGTGAAATAATTTTGGTAACTTTAAAAAATAAAACAGTGGGTATAACAGTTGGTGGTGGCCATTTATAAAATATATAATACAAATTTATAGCAGTTAATGAGCTTATAAATGTTAGTGTAATATTATTACAATTCGTTTATTTCTCTAACCCAGCGTACAGAAGTTAAATATTTTCGTGGTCTTAATTCCAAAGTAGGGATACTATACACATCACTAGTCCCTCCCAAATTACGCCAATTGTTAACAGAGTAAAGGTTCCGTCAAATTTAATACTTTGAAAGCAAGCACACGTGTTGTTATTAGTCGGTTTGTTATCAAAATATGATTTTGTAATATTTTGTTAACGTTAAAAAAATCGCAGGTAGTATTAAAGAATATTATTCAATTTTTGAAATGTACCTACTAATAGTTTGTGAGTGTACACCAAGAGTATGTACAACAGTTAGGTTGGGTTATATAAATTGACAAAAAAAAAGTAGACAATAATATCCATGAAAAAAGTTACATTTTGTATTTGGAAATTTTTATAAAAAAAAAAAAATAGAACATTGTTTGAAAACTTATGTCCGTTGAACACATTTTTTTTTTTTTTTAATAACACTGTGCTGAACTCTGTGGCTTTCGCAATCTTGTCGGATTTACTCTGTCGATTCACTCGATATGCACGTGCAGAACAAACGTCTTGAGCCTTGCGGATGAGGAAAAGCACTCGGAGGAGGACTTTTGGCGCGATGTACACACTTATATCGAATAACAAACATCTTCGTTATAACAATGCGAACGCGAGGAGACACTCCAGTAATACGGCACTACACAGAGAAGTTTCGGAGAAGAGGCTTTCACTAATTGTTTCCCCGGGCATCTGATGGAGAGGGGGTGGGGCCGTAGCCGTGTATAAGTATACATTCATTTATATAGTGCACAAAACGCATCAATATCGCCGCCGCCGTCGTGAAATGCCCCCAGGAATCGCGAACAATGCAATTAGTAAGAAGACAAGTGACGGTTTCGAGTGTCTCTGACCGACCAACGGGGAACGGACGGGCCGCACTATTATATAGTATCGGTATTGTCCCCTGGACCCTAATAGTGTCCCTTAAAAAAACACAAGACAACACGGTAGGTACACACACGGCACATAAGTACCTAACCGGACGCGACCGAGCATTTCTTCTGTTGATAATTTCTTTACATTTGGTAGGTACGCCGTCGTGTCCTCTTTTCCATGCGAATCCTTTGACGGGCGTCTATTTTATATTACTATTATAATATATTGTTTGGAAACCGGTCGAACGAAGACTTGGAGGGCGTAACGCTAATATAATACAATATAATATTATATAGTGTAGCTGATACAAGAGGGATTGGACCATTTCTTTTTGGCCGTACACCGTTTAATACGTGTGATACGACCGTGTAACAATGCCTGCAGTGTCGCTGTGTGATACCCGACCCCGTTGCAGTGGAACGGTTAAATAGTAGCGGCTTGTATCCCACCCTCCCCTCCAAGACTGCTTAAGATACACACTATTTGTTATAACCCGCCTGCGCTCGTCACAGCGATATTATACCATCTCTGGGAGCCAAATCTTATTAACTAATTGAAAGATTGAATATAGGGTTCAGACGGGGTCTCGCGTCCAGGTTGCGTTGACCTACATAATATTATTTTCTCGGACCACCAACCCCCGTAGAAATACAGCAAACCAAACGGGGGGGGGGGATATTACTACCTGTAATATTGTCAATGTTTATTTTTTAGCTTTAATACCTCCCAGTTGTGGTGAAGTTTCCGAATTTACAACGGCGTGCACTACTTTTAAAGGGCCCAAGAAAATGTCCAAACAGTTCCGGTCAGCACATTTTCTCAAACGGTTATTCTAATTACACGTTAGGGCGCATGGTCAACGGGCTATTATTGTCATTATAGAGGATCTATATTATTGCAAAACATCAGCGTTGTCTCCCCGTGTCGGCTGGGTGAAGAATAGACTATAATATTATTGTACGGCGTGTCCTGCGCCAGCTAGACGCGGAGAAGCGTCGATGATAATATCTACGACGCACCTTTATGCGCTATTAAGTATAGGTATTATACCCTAATATTCGGGTAATCGTAAATTATATTTTAAATGCGCCCCTTAGATATGGGGAGACGATAAGATGTGTATATAAAACCGCTGTAGGTAACTTGTACACACGGTAATATCGTCGTGTACCCGGCCCGGGGGCTGAGAAAAGACCCTAAAAACGTGAGGTCCAATAAACGTCCGTATATTATACTTGTGTAAACACACACACACACACTTAATGTACGGCGATCGGATATATATACATCTGTATACAATAATATACAGGTGTAATACAAGCAGTGTGTGGATTATATTGTTATGTGATTTTCTTTTGTTGATGCTGTTTTACGACTGACAAATCGAGTGAAATGAAAAAAAAAAAACAAATTAATAAATCGTTTTTATTTTTCTTTAAACGTTCACATTATTATTATTATTATACCCGCTGCACATGCGTTTCGTTCGATTCCGGATCACAATACCGGCCGTGGAAGTTAATGACGTTCAATTGAAGCGTTCGGACAGGACCTGGATAGGTAGGTACATAATATTATATTAGGTATTATAGCGAGACCAAAGCGAGACAACCAACCACAACACAACGGTAATATAATTGTGCGTTATGGAGAAAAACGCATAAATTTCGACTAATATCTTTAAAACGGATTTCGGTCCACATTAATACCCCCAGACGATATTATATAATACCAAGTGCGTCTTGTGTAAACTGTACGGTAACAACAAATCACCGAGAGCTCATAATATACACAAAACAGTGCGGTGTAACACATGACGTTTTATTTTTATGACACCCTATTGTGTTTGTATTACAAAATTATCATACCGTCAATGCGTGCACGTATGTATGTAATGTTAAGTCTCTGGAATATTGCTGTGCATTTAGAACCGCTCTCTACACACACAGCACGCATTTGTGCGTACAACGGCATTTCAAAAGCGTAATAATAAATTATGATTCGGTCGCTTTCAAAATATTTTCCCTCTCGTCCGAAGTGTAGAGCAATTAATTAGTCAGAACGCACACTCGGGAAACGCACAGTGTATAAGACACGATTCCAGTCGTAAACGAACGGCGCAAGTATGTAATTTATTTAACACAGCGGCATAACTCATAATATAATACAATAAATGGAATCAACAGTAAACAATTATTTATATGTGTATATTTTCCACGTTAAACGACAATAGTCATCACTCGTTTCCACTGTAGTTAATTAAAGCTGATAATAGTAAAAAAAAAAAAAGTTACCGCTTCTTTGTCCGTAAGTAAATAAATAAAAACTGCTAATAAGCACCATTCGGCCGAGAGACGGTGTCTCGAGTCACGTGTGCTTGACATAATGTAACATACAGTATGTTTTTTTTTTTACTCTGTTATGTATAACGACTAATTATTAGCACCTTATTTATTCGTCCATAAATCTATTCCAATATGTGCGTTAAAGATGTATGTATACACGTTCATAAATCTCACAAAGTTTATTTTTAAACTAACCGCGTCTCGCCATGGCGTTTTCATTGTGAAACGCATGTAAAAAGCAAATATTATTGTTATTGTGTGTTCACATATTATATTATAATATAATGCCATCTACATGAGATGTATATTTTTTTCGTTTATCCAGCAAACCAGAACCGGCAAAGATCCTGCATATTATAGCCATCCCATTTGTGTATTCTGATCAAGTTTACCTACATAAATGCCATAGTAGTGCAGTATCGCAGATTTTACAGGAAAACATCTTTGTGTCTATGCTGTCCAATTCAAGTCAATTCAAGGGTAGTTTAGCGATAACCAAATTATACTCAAACGTTTATCAACGCCATACGATGTGTGTTTGTCTTTTGGTCTAAAACTAATGTAAAGTAATTTTACTCGATTTTAACCGCGATTTCGCGTCCTTGGTCGCTTTCACAAACACGCACGTCTGTCTTAAGCTCGAGGATTTTTACCGAAATGTTTTTACAAGTATGCGTTTTACTTGTACACGTCCCGCGTAAACCGATCTCGCACCCCGCCGGGAAAAAATTAGCAACCCGTAAAAATAAACGG